TATGGTAAGATCTAATAATCAAACTAAATACCACATGTATCGTTAAAGAGACACAATCTGGTAACCGGAAAAAACACAATATGATAAACAGAAAACCTCAGCCTATAAAATTAATAGTATGTTAACAAACTTTTGCGTCTGACAAGGAAAAATCATAAAGGCCGAAATACCTAGGTCCCATGTATACTCTTGGCAGAGCAGAATGTTTAATATCCTTACTATGGTATGTGAATTACAGATTTTTCAATTAACTACCAGTACATAGAATGCATCTCTCTCTCTCTCTCTCTCTCTCTCTTTCCCCCTGCCCCCCTTCAAAACACTGAAATATGTTCCATCAAATCTTCTTCTCCTGGTTCTTTAAAATAGATCTAGACAGACTGAAAAAATAATTCATTTTCTTAGTAAAAAAAAAAATGAAATTGATGTTATTTTCAAAGCTTATTGTTATATTCCATTTAACCAACAAGAAGTGTTTATATAAATCATGTTCTTTTGTATCATAAATACATAATCATTGCTTTAAATTATTTTGTTTACATAGTTGCATAACAAAATGAAAAACTCTTGCAATTATAATTCCATCTGAAAGGTATTTAGAAAATTCTTTTTTCCTCGTGTCATTCTTTAAAACATTTAATAACATAGAAAAAAAACCTAATGCAAACTGTATCGATAAGGGATAATTTTGAAATTGTTCAATGAAGATTTTTGCACAAATGCTCATAACTTCTGTTTATTTGGCAATACCAGGGAGAACCAGCAGGCAAGGTTTAAAACAAGAATTCCAGACACAGTATCAGTTTGTGCTTTCCTAATTCTATCAAACCAAAACATTTGTTGTATAATATTTAAGAAAATAATCTTTCTTACAATAAGCTTATAATATTTCTTGGGATAAAATGAGAGAGAGAAAATCAATAAATTTCAAAAACAAAAAACAAAGGGCTTTACTTCAAAATCTGATTGAATAGGAAATTGCAATTCGGTTGAGATTGTTAAGATATTCGAGGTGCGTGCATTGAGCTAGAATAAAAGCAATAACAACCAATATTCTGTAATTAGCCGAGTTCGCGAGAGAAGGATATCGGGAGTGGGAAATACCATCAGTGGCTTATGGGCGTTTGACAGATGCCTGCAGAGAACTTCTGCAAGAATATATTACATGCTATTGATTTTCTGCAGTTCATTGTCCTCGTATGGCCGGGGAGGTCAGACTCCAAACCGCATAAAATAAATTGACACATTTACATATTAATGAGACTAGGGCTAAAATATTGTTAGCCTTCTGTCCGTAGTTAATTTCCATTGCTTTGGTGAAGGAGTTTGATTTATAGTGTTTTCTACAGGTTATGTCTTGTCTAGTCTGATTGGAGAGGAAAATTATACTGCAGAGAGAGAGAGAGATAAAATTTACGTCTAAAGTCTACTGGACACAACTAGGTCATTTCGTTACTAACATATAGTTCAATTATATTTCAGTAATTTGCTAACATGGTCTTTGAGGTGACCAAAAACCTACAATATCTAACAGTAACAACAGTATCTTTAGTTCAAATATTCGGACATATAAATAAACAAAAAGAAAAAAATAATTTTCCATTTGTAATTAACTGTAATTAGTTCATATAAACTGAAAATAGTCGTTTCAAAATAAACTGAGGTGAATAGTGTAGTGAATTGATAAAAGTAAAAAACTAAGGTTGACAACAACAGGTTGCCTTATATCACATGTTAAATATATCGGTGAATAAACTCTTTAAAATACTTCCCTATTTATAGTAACACCTTTTCTTAGAATTAGGGTTTTTGGAGAGAAAAAAAGGCAAGGTTGGATGGCCAAATGGTTAAACATGTACGTCTTGGATCATCAGATCTGTCATTGAATTAAGTGGCCTGGTTTCATTTTCCTGCTTGACAAGGAGAAGGGTCGTCTGTCCAACCTCATGAGTTTTCTCCAGGTCCCCTGATTTCCTCTCACAGACCCAAATGCGCAAGCAAATTATTGAAATAAAAAATCGAACCATGTTATTCCTGAAAAGATTTACTCGCTATCTCTACTCCCGCTCCTGCACCACCCAAAAACAAAATTAAATTTCCCATCCTCAGATCCTGTTCTGTGTCACATGTTTGTCCTCCTGATAAAGATAAGTGTATTATTGTCCTAGTACATGAACTCGGATTATATCAACATATACCACCAATATGTATATCAATATCCTTGTGACAGGTACTACTTGTTTATATCGCACTTAATAAGCTGTATAACTCACTGACTGTATATATAATACTATTACCAGAAACGCTTGAACTATATATCTAAGGTATTAAACTCCGTTATTTGCATCAGGAAATATTTATGTTACCATACTTTTATTTATGCGTATATTGGCCCTTATACAATTATAAGGCAACTGAAAGAAATCAAGTTGTTGGAAATGGATTAGTATTTACTTCAATGTGCATAATGTGTGGGTGAGGATTTTGCTTAGGCAGCATCAATTATGCCTATTCTTCTAATTCCAACTTCTGAGGGCTCTTTTACAGATGGGGAGAGAGAGAAATGGGGTTTAATTTCCACTCAACACAAACTAGGTCATTTCAATACTAACATATGGTTCACATTTATTACAATGATTCGCTAGTGCGTAGTGGTCTTTAGCAGTGGGAGGAAACCGGAGGTCCCGGAGAAAACCCATGAGGTTGGACAGGCGACCCTACTTCTTGTCATGTACAACTGTGTGAAACGAAACTGTGCCAGACTCAATGACAGACTTTATGATACAACACGCATGCGCTAACCATTTGGCCATCCAACCCTCCTTTTTTACAGATGGACCTTGGTGGGGATTTGGGTTTTTTGTTGTTTTTTTTAACTCATCCAAAGAGCTAACCACACTTTGCTTGTCAGCCGTGCATGCCAAACCCCTGACAAGTGTAATAAACCGGATGTTAATTCAAATGAATATTGATGTGTAAAAAGCTAGCGAGGTAATGATATTACAACTTGCACACACTTGGTGTCTGGATTTACAGCAAACTAATTCCACCTGCAGTATTGATTTTGATCCTCCTGCTACAGTTCTTGGTGGTTATTTTTAGATATTTTCTCTCCTGCAAGTAGTACTGACCTTGTAGTTTTGTGCACCATGTTACTGATATTGAGGTTTATTGCCTTGCAGAATGTGCAATGTCAGGAAAGCAAAATAGTAGTTTGTTATGAGTTTGAGGAGGGGGATTTGGTGCAGATTGAGAAATTAATTAATGAGATTAATTATTAGAAATATGAACTCTTCAAATTACATGAAATGAAATGGATTTCAACCTCTTATTTTTCTGCACAGAGTGGACTAATGAAGATGAACATAGGGATCTTTTACGTGCATGCCATGTTGACCTTGATTAGTTTCATTCCATCTAAATGACTGGAAGCTTTTCCTAGCTACTCCCTCTGTCCAGTACCACTTGAAAAATCCCATCTAGCTTTCTCAGTCAAACCTTCAACTTCTTGGGGTGGGGGGGGGGATGCTGAATAGTTAGCTCGTCAGAAGGCCTGTCATTGAGTCAAGTGGTGTGGTTTCGATTCTCCAGTTGTATGTGATAAGAAGTAGGATCGTGTGTCCAACCTCATGGGTTTTCTCTGGGTGTTCCGATTTCCTCCCATTGCTAAAGATCCCTACCTGCAAGCGAATTATTGGAACAAAATTGAACCATATGTTAGTCCCAAATGTTAAACCCATTTCTCTCTCTCTCTCTCTCTCTCTCTCTCTCTCTCTCTCATACTCTTGGTTAGTAGCCCCATGATAGAAAAGTTTGATTTGTGGAGAATGCATTGCTTGCAAATTTTATGACCGGACATTATGTGAGGGAAAGAATGAAATTAACTTTAATACAATTCATAAAGTCATTCTGACCAACCCAGATATATTTAAATTCATGATATTCATTGTTTCTAAATTTATTCTAAATGAGCTATTTTCGTAAAGCAAATGCACGCAAAAAGAATCAAGATTACTAGCATGTGCTACACTTGTGCAGTTGTGTTTGCCTACGTATACAAAGCATGGTAAAAAAAATATGTTTTGTTGCGAGGCAGTGACATGAAAACATATCTAGAACACACCCAAACAGAACAGTGACCTCAGCTACAAAACCCATAGCAACATTATACACTCAATTTCTTATGATGAAATTAAATTCAATCGAGAAATTTAGACATAAATATAAGTCAGCTAGAAATGATACATGAGTTGTTATCCTCTAATAATAGTACATAAACAATTCTAAGAGTACATTTGTTATATCACCATCAAGCAATGTTATTATTGTTGAGGTCATTATGTTTATAAGCTGGTCCATATATGGTATGGGCTAGGTAATAATGAAAATAATAATCTGTGTTCTTTCCATTCATTGTTTGGGATTTTCTTTGGTGCAAATAAGTAACACAGCTGTCAATCCTATTCAAAAAGTATTTTTATGTTCAATATTTATTATTGTTTGTGCTCTGGATAAACATTTGAGACAAGTCAATTTATTCCCAGCAATAATAATAATATTGCTTACACAAATATTAGAATTTGACAAGTCAGAACGTAAGGCACAAGTTGTCATAGCCTTTGTCCAGGCATCTTCAAAAGAAGGCTTGATCTCGACTTAACTAGGTAAACCTGTGGTCGTTGCTTCAGGAACCTCTTGTCCAGGATGCTTTGCAAATTCTGTTACAGCAAGCTATTCAAGTTTCTTAATCAGTCCTATCTTTTGAAGGTAATTTATATTCAAGGACAGCTGTCTAATTCGAATGGGACGAAAAAACGAGGTCCTGTGTACCCATTGGCGTGCACGTAAAAGATCCCTTGACAGTTGGAATCCGATATAAGAGTAGGCGGTAGTGCCGCTGTCCGGGCAAAATTTCCCTCATAGCATACTTCATATCCCAGTTCGGAGCAGAACAGTAGGGCGCTAAATTTCATTTCATTTTGAATTGTTTGTATTTTTAGGTTGTTGATGCAAGAGCTGGACCAGGAACAAAATCATCTCATAAATTAAAGAACCAAAAAAGTCCACTGAAATTCAAGAAACATAAGAAAAAGATAAAGAAAGAGTCCCAATTTCAAAACATTCCCAGTCCAACATTTTCTGATGCGTCAGGTAATTATCTTCTTATTGCCCGAAAAGTTCTTTGGGATTTTCCAGCAAAGTTTCACTTGTTACATGTGCAGGACATAGATCTGGCATAGAAAAGTGCCTAGTCTTTTGAATGGGACAAACAAACAAAAATCCTGTTTGTAACATTAACAATTCCCATACATTTGGAAATCCCGGGGGGTTGGATGGCTGAATGGTTAGCGTGCGAGCGCTGCATCATAAGGTCTGTCATTGTGTCAACTGGGGTGGTTTTGATTCCCCGGTTGTACATGACAAGGAGTAGGGTCATCTGTCCAACTGGCGTGTGTTTTCTCCAGTTTCCTCCCACTGCTAAAGACCCCTACGTGCAAGCGAATTATTGAAATAAAATTGAATCATATGCCCGTTTGATTGAATTAATAGCCTAGTTGGTGCAGAAACGTAAGATGTTAAATCCAATTTCATTTATTCAATATTCTAATTGATATTGATTTTAGTGCTGCAAGTGTGTATCATATTTGTAGTTAAGTTTATAAACCTGCAGAAAAAAACCTATTTTTATCCAATTTTTAGTATACAGACTACACTGAAAAGCAAACATGCACTATGTCAGTGAACTGCTCTACAGCCAGCCTGTTTGCTCTGATAATTCTTCTAAATTACATTTTAAGTGGTTATTGAATAATTTATTAGCTATAAATGCAAATTCTGTTGTTATTGCACATAAAAGATTTTCTCCTGTCTATCTGTATATATTGAAATAAGCATTAGATTTGTTCAAAATGGACTATATAAATCAATAAAAACAGAGGCTGGTTGTGGTTGCGGACAAACACACGTGCATGCTTTTGCATTCACCTCGTCTCCTTGATCCACGAGGCCATTAACTATTATAACGAGGAGGGGGAAAAAATCAATCTCGATGCAGGGTGTGAAAACAACCTGAAAACCCACTAACCTAACTAAACAGTGAAATGTACAGATCCTAGCTTTTCATGTAACCCAGATTAGATATCTCACTGCAGAATAAAAACAAAATGGGGCCAGTGATGGTTATTGACATAATAAGTTGTGGTGATATCAGGGGATTGTATCAAAGACCTATAAACCTAAATCTCTCTGTGTTGGCTTGTTCTTTTTTTATCTTTTAATCAAATGGCGTCTAACTGTTAGTTAACAATCTGCCGTCTTATATCCATCGATTAAATATTTAGAAAGTTTATTGTGGCATAAGTGGAACATGTCTTTGTTTCGTGTTCCTATCAGATGGGCTGAATTCCAAACATATCTTGTCTAAAACTAGCATGACCCAATGACATACTTTCTATAGACAAAAACTACAGGAAAATATCCCATATAATTTCAGACTACCATTTAGGCTACTCTCTTAACATTAGCTTAGTCAACTGTGCAAATAAGTAACATAAGGTGTTAAAGAAAAGGATGGCAATAATCCGTAGAAGGAAAAAAAATATTCTTGCATTTGCTTATTATATTCATTTGTTGCCTTTTCAATCTTGTGGGATTTCTCCGAGTCCTCTGCTTTCCTACTCATACTAAAGACACCTACATGCAAACTAATTATTGAAATAAAATTGATCCATATGTTAGTCCCAATATGACGTAGTTTGTGTGTAGTGGACATTATACCCCATTTCTCTCTATATAAATATTCATTGGAGTAACATGTAGGTGCTATATTAAAGTTTGATGTTCCATATATAACCAAGCCAGTGTCGAAATAGACTCATGTCAAGTACACTTGGTCTTTATTTACTATGTAATGTTATATATCTTGTTCTCACTTGTAGTGCTTACCATGATTGGTCCAACCTCTCACAGTTACATGAACTAGCATACACCTACATATTATATATACACCCAGCTAGTACTTATCTACCAGCTTACCGTCACAGACCAGACATCTGGAAGCATGCCTTTTTAGGTCAAAGGGCATCCACTTGGTACATAAATTGTACAGTGCTTTGACCCATATAACCATATAAAGCAAGTGGAAACCGTGTAAACCCTGATAAAGTAATGAGGATACACCTCGTTTATTTTGATATGACTCATATACCAACCAAGCATTCCAAAAATTTTGAACTTAGACTTGGACTTTACTCCTTTTTTTTTCTCTTTTTTTTCAATAAAACAAGGCAATGTCAGCAGCTATTTTTAAAGAAGATTTTTTGTGTTGTTGAATTAAGATAGATCAAAATTAATCAAAAATTTACTACCCACAACATGTAAACATATTTTAGTGGTTATAAAAACAATAGGTCTATGGATCAAAATTGTTGGTTAACTTAAAGACAAGGGAATGGACAAGATTTTTGCTGACTAACTCAATGGCACCACAGCGGTGTGTTGTATTAATTAAATTAAGTTATTAATTTGATAAAAATTCTTGGTAATGTTTAAAACTTTCCACAAAAGCTGTTATTTTTTTTTATTTTTTTTTTGTCTGTTGGGAAATGACAAGAGATTATTGAATAGAGTCTATGAGATAACCTGACCTGACCTACTTTCCCAGTATTTTAACCCCTTTTTGTTTGAAAGAAGATTGTAGAATATTAGGTCAACTATTAGTAGAGAGGGCTGTAGTCAGTAGCAGCTGTTTTTATATAGTAAAATCACTAAACCATTTATAGTCAGTTTAATAGTAGGCCTACTGGGCTATCAATAAATTACTTAATTCATGGCTTTTGTTTAGGGTCATTTTGTGAAATACTTTTTATTAGGTCAGTCTACTAACAATAACCCAAGTGAAATATGAAACATATTTAAACAAAGAACTGTCACTTTTTAAATGCTCAGGACTTGTTAGATCGATTTGAGTCATTGAACACTTTCTTAACATACATTATGCAAGAGCTAAATCTGTCTATTGCAGGTCTTTCTTTAGGCCTGAAATGTTATCTAAATTATTAATTAGACATTAATTAACTTATCCAGACCATAATCAACTCTAGATGGCATCGCTAGCCTGCGATCTTAAGTGGATTGTGAGCCGATTTACTGCGTAACTTTCCTTCTCGATTAAACGATTAAATGGATAATCAAGACTATGCTGTTTATCGTACTGACTTTAGTAATGATGACCGAGGCTAGACAGAAATTTCATTCGCTTAGTTCTCAGTTCATAATGGATCAATTTGAATGAAATTTTCAGCAAATTGCCTTTACATTATCTAGTTTTTAACTATTATAGTGAGAACTGCCAACTCGTTATCGAACCTCCCATAATGTATCTTTAGGCCCAAAATGAAGTTGATATACTAAAAGATTAATCACTTGTGCTTACATTCAGCAGGATTAAAAAATAACTTAACCTCAGAATTTCATAGCTTTGGCAAATTAAAGTCAAAATTTGAGATTTGTGTTTAAAGATAATTGCACTTGATATAAAATGAAATGAAATGAAATGGGTTTTGACATGCTACTTTCCTGAACCACCTGCACTAATGAAGACAGGCATACACCATGCAGTGTGCTATGAGGGAAATTTTGTCCAGACTGTGTCATTTCCACCTTCTCTTTGGAGCCACAGTGACTAAGTGAGAAAGACGCAGGTTCGCTCCCAGTGTTGGCCGAGAAAGTTCATTGGGACTTTCTGGCGTGGTTTCCCCATGTCAGTGATGCAGGACTGAGGGTCTGACAGCTGTCTAGTCATTCGGATTGGACGAAAAACCAAGGTCCCATGTACATATTGGCATGCATGCAAAAGATACTTGGCAGTTGGAATTCGATATAAGAGTAGGCCACTTAACCCAGATATATAAATCAGTACTACAAATGCAGGGAAACTGCTATGTTATATTTTTGTAAAATTAATTGAACTACACTAGAAAGAACAACATTGAATGGTTTTGATATTTCATCTTTTCAGGAAATGAGAACAGCATAGATGGAACTGAAACTTTCCGACAGAAACGATCACAAAGTTTAAGTGATGAATCGGATACAGAAGATGTTCCAGCTCGAGAAGTTAGTCGTCCCAGAAAACGATCAGGATCTCAATATGTCAGTTCCTTCTTAGATCTCACCTATTGGAAGAAGTAAGTCCATATATACTATTCAACAGACTGGTCTGACTCCTGTGTTGTAGGTCATAAAATCTGTTATTATCTGTCATGGTGACAAGGATTAAGGCACACTTGCCTAATTTGTTGGTTTTCTCAGGGTATTCCTGTTTCATCCCACTTTTATAGACCTTGAACTATCAGACAACACAAATTAGGTCATTTTGAAACTGATATTGTATATTTTGATTTCAATGTGCCTGCCAGAGAAAGCTCGCAAGGTGAACCTGAATTCTTGTTGAAACAATATTTCATCCTTGTAATGTAAAGCTACATAATTTTTATCTTATCCCAAATTTATATTTTTTCTGAAATATATCTGTATGTGAATAGAGTACATAGACTCTTATGATTTTGACAAACTTCATTTTCTCTTTTTCAGAACTCAGGTCTGCTGTGGAATTATATTCAAGGGCCTGAATGGGGAAGTGTTGCTTGACCCCAAATTACTTCGGCCCTGTTTGTCTTGTAATCCTGACAAAAACAAGCACAGTACAGAAATGCATCGAAGTCAGTCGGTGGAAACGGAGAGCAACGCAAGCAGTTCTGGATATAACGAACACGATAATGATAATGGTGACGATAATGACTTTGACTCAAAGCCACAAGATGAAGACTCAAGTAGTGCATATTCATTAGACAATTTACCCACAATGCCAGACAATAAATTCTCAGCTGGATTTACGACACATGCGCTAGCAATGGAGTGTTAAATCAAATTCGGAGTATATTTAAACAAGAAAAAAACAAGTGAAAAGGAGTGTGGATTAATTTATATATAACATATTATTAATGTATTACGAGACAAAGTTTAAATTATAACCTATAGGCATAACTCAGGATTTCCTTCCAAAAACTGATACAAGACAATATTATCACAAAGTGACAATTTTTTTAACCTGCCATTTTCACGTTACATCAGTGACTTACAAAACCATCGACCTATGAATGATGTATGTTTGAATTATCTCCCCCTGTGTGTGTTTTTTTTATATCGTGAGGAATTACCGATAGGATATTTTTTATTTATAAATCTTGGAGTTTATTTGTTTTATTGCTCAACTTATCATCGTTGCTCTGTTCTTTAAAATCAATTGATGGATGCAACTTTGAGGATATATAGTACATCAAATATGGAGGTAGGCTCTTCAATGGTTGTGAAATTCATTTTTACAAATACTCCTGTAGTTATAATCACCCAAAAAAAGGGAGAATGAGCCAGAGAAAAAAAAAACATTTCTTAGCCATTGAATTGAAAATATGCATAACTGAGATTTTTCTTGTGTGTGTGTACTTGGTTTCTTTGTGGTATATATCTCTCTGATCTGTTCCATTAAATGGAATATTTCAGTGATGGTTTCTTGATTTTTTTTTTACACATTTTCCAGTCGATCTTATTTCATACCTAATTCCAGTTACAGTTCCTTGAGAAAATTATATCATTGTTAGAAGTAAGCTATCGAACGGCTCATTGTAACAAGGCTCTTTCTTATTCAGGGATCTTTGTGATCAGTTAACCTCAGACTGTCTTCAAAATTGAACAGTTTACCACCCTAAAATTTAAATATGGAATTTGAATTACTTTAAAAAGCAAAATTAAGAATTGGGTGTTAAGTCATAATTAAATTTGGCAACCTTTAAAATGTCCGGAAAAATTTCAAAGAGCCTAGTGTTGCAGTCTTTAATAAACAATGAACGGTAGCCTATTTATCATCCTGCATGAACCAACAAATTCCCATGCTTTTAAATTGATCTCAAAGCAGTTTATCTATCATCCTATCTAAATAAATCTAATATGCTCTGCCAAAAAAGTTTTTTTTTTTAAATTTTAGTTATAACATCTTATTCATCCATCATATTTCTCATAAAACTGACTATGCAGTCATTTGATATACAAGCAGTGTCATTTTGCCAGGTCGTTCATTTCTTTGTCCTATTCCTCACCTTTAAGGGCCATGAAAAGAACACAAATTCAAACTGCATGAGCATCATTCTCATCCAAAAGCAATGAAGTTGTTGCTTTAATTCCAAACTTCTTTTTTTTTTTAATTAACCAAACATGCTAATTGTCTTAAGTGATGCAACTTCAATCTCTTTCTGTACTTGCAAGCAAATATTGTCAATGCAATTTCTTTGCAATAACATCGAAATACTGAAATTATCATCAGGTCTTGTCAATGATTAGCGTACAGCAACTGAATGGTGGTGTTTTAGAGTGTTTAAATTGGTTTCTCCATTTGCATATTCTAGCTGAAAGCTGAATTATTGATTCTGTCAAATGTCCTTGAATGCAATAATGAAGGTCATTTGAAGTCAAAAAGGGTTGTTTTAGCAACAGTAAGCCTATTATTATTATTCCTTTCATGGAACATCATGTAACTTTCAACAGTTACAATTAATTTGCCTTTAATCAAAAGATGCCTAAATTTCATAATAAATGAAAAAAAAAACCTTCAACTGCTAATAAAGAAAACAATAACCTGCCTTAATTCATCTCCAGTTCAACATCAATCAGTAATCAAGGATGTAGATACAACATGGAGTTGAAACTATTTTAAAACAGTTGGAAATTTGTTAGCACTTTATCTATGAGATAATTGCTGTTATCACTGGTCATCATCCATGGTACATGTACTCTAAATCTGCAACCCAATGGGTTTATACAAGATTGAAATGTACATGTAATAATGTGTTGATACAGTGTGCCTGAAAACAACCCACTGTGTTGCCCATTAGCAATGTATCTGTTATATTAAGTACATGTCCCACTCGGAGATCAAAATTGGAAATTTATTCACAATATTCAGGTCATTGCTAAGACCAGAGAAGCCTAGATAAAACGTCACTCAGTTATAAGTAGTAGATGTAATTATATTCCATAAAATTGTTTAGTTACAGTTCTTTTACTAAATGCCATTGAAACAATTTAATATTAAGGTCATTTTGTATGCAGATTATCTACATCCTTGAATATATACAAAAATAACCAAAAAACACAAGTTCATTCAACAATGAATTAAAACATAGAGAATACTCAGTGAATATGCATGAAAATTAGTCATTGAATTTTTTTTTTTTATTATTTTTTTTTTTTTTTTTTGCATAGAATTTAGTTGTATACATTCTAGACATCTACACATTTTAAGATCTAAATAGTTAGATATCGGTTGGGTTGTTCATTTTTTTTTTTTTTAAATTTAAAAGTTAAGAGTAAATGTACAATCAAATTGAAAGAGATGTTTTTATACATAACATTGAAGAGAATAATAAAGTATACACAGTGTTTTGTAATGATTTTTTTGAAAGTTTGTGATGTCATATTTGATATTAAAATCCAGGGTTGAGAAATATACATGTACATAACATTCAGATAACATCATAACAAATTGGGGTTAAATATTTTTACAGACTTTGGGGTGATCAGTTTAAAGCCTTCAAGTCAGTAAGCACAGGTCTTGCTTCAGAAAACCTTCAAAGGAGGATTTTTGTTGTATTGTAATAATTTATGTGCATAACATTTCATTGGTTGTTCTCAATATTAAGCAGACCCAAGGTCTTGATTATAAATCAACTAAAATGACAGAAATACAGTCAAAGTATTAACTCTTCCAATACACATGCTATAATGGATTTGTATATTTATAAATAAAGTCACCACAAAATATTGTACAAAAATTTGCAAGCATATATTTTTTGCACTACTTATTTATTATGAATTGTGTATATTTTCCTCTTTCAGTCATGTTTATTATACTGTTGAAATCTAAAACAACTGTTACTATTTATATTACATTCAGATCCATGAGATATAGATATTTGCATTGTTCATCCATTAAACTCTGAAACGTCACAGAGGACAGTTTGTTAATCCGAATGGATTACACAAGGTATTACCTACTTCTTACACTAAAATCCTGATCAGGCTCCGATTTCTGCCATAGAATAATTTACATATCAATAATCAAAGTAAACAGAAAGCTTCATTTCATTTCAAAATAAGCATTAGTATTTCCAAGTTTACAACCAAACCGTTCCAAAGAATTACATGTAGCATCCTTATAAACTGTATAGTTATTTATTCATTACTTCCATAATATATTACTTCGTGGTAATATTCTCATAATGAAATATTAAATAACACCCTTTTATATAATAGTCTCAATTCTTTAAATATTTTTTTTATTTCTTTTTTTTTGTTCATTTTTATTCTTTGGGTGTGTAGCATGAGGTATATATGAATAGTTTTCTATGAATAAATTTTGGACAATTCATCGATCATGCCAGAATGTATGTTGTCCTTAATTTATTTAAAATATTAAAGGGATCATAGTCTCTTGAGTGACCCCTTATTCCTTATTTTTATTTCCATCTTTGCTATATAAAAAGATAAAAAATGTTTAAAAAAAAATATTTATAAATAACTATGATGAAATATAATATTCCACAAATCTTATTTATAAATACTTAATTTATTTCTTGTTGACTGTGTAACCTATAATATGAGAGTGTTAAATCTTGTTTTGTAAATTATTGGGACTGACACAATGAATTCAGAGGTATGACCTCTTTCCACATTAATTTTTGGCTGATTAATATATAATTTTTTGAAGGAAATGATCATTTATCCACAGAACAAATTGAATGATCATTAGATCACTACTGTATTTATTTAAAGACTGGCCAATGGCCACCTGAATTAATAATTTTTGCAGAATCCTAAAAGATTATCTTTATTACATTTTGGGGTAATGTTAATAAATGTATATATACATGAAATTTTAAAGTTTGCGTCAAAACCGCAACTCAGTAGATTTTGGTATGAATCTGAATACACCATGAAATGAACCATTTGTATGTAAATAAATAGTCTACTAAAGTCCTATGTAATGTTATTTTGCGATTCTTGTTTATAAATGACCATTTGTGAATGATATGAAAGTTTAGTGTATTATAAGTAACTTATTCTGACTGTAATCCATTGTTGGGTGTAATATAGATCCTATCCTAGTCATCCAGATGATTGACCAGCTGACTCCATGTAGATTCTGAGGGGTGGGATAGAATTTAAGATTCACCTATTTGTTGGGTTAGATCTGGAATCTATCCCAGTCATCAAATAATCAATTCATGGTAAGCTGTATAGGATTTAAGATTGACAGTCCTATCCAATCCTGTCAAATTATCCTTTTAAAAAATAGTTTTGGGATAGTTTGATTTGTATGTCAGAGAGATAAAGGGCACAAAAACATCTTAATTGTGTCAGTCAATTACAGAGGTAGAGTAGGATGACCGAGATAGGATCTACAGAAAACCTGTTTGTTGCTATTGTTTATGTGTTATTCATTATTATATATATATTATTAGTATATCGGATATATAATGCATGTTTTTAGGGAAATGACAGTCAGAAATACTCAACTAATTCCGTCACTTTGGTATCACTGTGACAGAATCTCTGTTGATTGTCACTGATTGCTCTTGACATTGTTTCATCATTGCTTGGAAACTTTTTATCTTTCTTTTTTTTATTATCAGAAATATTAGCCTAAAAATGGAACACTGCCTTACATTAATGTTCAACATAGACTAAAGCCGTAAGCCATAAAACATAGCTATATATTAACACAAGGTAAAATTTTATGGATACACAATTACTGAGTTAAATACTAAATGTCGATCAAAGAAGATTGCTATATATATATATAGCATTAAAACTATCGAATTTGCAGGAACATTTTTTTTAGTAATTTTTGTCTGAAAAAAAGAAAGGTTTTATGGCTGAGGTCTTGTTAGGCCTTTTAATAACAGCCTTAGTCTGTGGACAAGTTATATGAAGAAAACTCTAACAAAAATATCTGAAAGATACTGCGAGTTTATTGGCTGAAGGTAAAAATCCATTGCTCAGATTTTAGCTTTTGACCAGTGAAATTTAAGGATCCTTAGAATATTCTTATTTTTGTTTTCGTGGTTAAGTGCTCCAAGAATATCGGGGTTAATATTGTTTGATTGTGAATTATGAATATTCCCCAACTTTTCTCATATTCACTCTTATTGAATCCTACCAACTAGGACTTTATAGAACCCTACCAACTAGGGCTTCACACTTGGGACATCTCCAAAGATCAAAACAATTGAATACCTCATATATATTATTACCCAATGGCATACATGTCTGTATATGAGTATCTGAACATATGATTTATAGAATCAGTAAGCCTTGGCAGTTATGAAATAATGTCTATATGTATATATAGCTGTAGTGAATAATAATGTTCTTACAACCAGTTCCACTCTTAAATAAATTAAACCTGTTCAAAGGTCAAATCTATGAAGGTCAGTAAATCAAGGTCATCTCTATTGACAACAATACTATTATGATGGTGGTCTCCTTGGAAACTACACAGTTAAGATCACTTTGAAAACATTATTTTCCAAGGTTATCTCAAAGCTGAAGGTCACCTTGGAAACGACATAGTTAAGATCACTTTGGAAACATATCATTGTCCAAGGTTATCTCAAAGTTGAAGGTCACCTTGATACGAAATGACTTCCGTCAAGAACTGGTTGTAAAATCTCCATGGTTTTAGATTGTTCCAGATTTTGTATTTGGAATCTAGTCATGTTATTTGTCTGAATGTGTTAAAATTATTATTAATTATTAATTATTATTATTACTATTATTATGGGTATCTGTTCTGTCATCTGATATTTTAAGCCTGCGCATGACTGAAACCTTTTTATCATAAATTCCTGGTCATACCTGGGTACATTAAACAATCACATGATTTCAATATTGTACATATCTGACATTGAATCTCATTAAAACAATTTTCACAATAAGTTTATTTTCTCTGTTATATTTTGTTGCTTTTGAATGGACTTTAGTTGCTTATTTTAGTCCCTTTATATTATTTATCTGTGTCTATTGATGTACTCTCGGGGAGCAGATGAGGTTGGGTAGAATTTTCAGTTTGTGAAAGTCGTTCGGATGGGGTGAAAAACCGAGGTCCTGTGTACACATTGGCGTACACGTAAAATAAAAGAGTAGACTGTAACGTCATTGTCTAGGCAAAATTTCCGACTGCCGACCGAGATTTGATTGCCGGTTGAAATTTAAATAAATTATGGCGGGTGATGTGTACGGGGCAGAGTGTGATTAGGTCATCTGATAACCACTTCCCATTCACTTGGATATTTATTGGTGATATTGAAATCCAATTCAAAACTACATCACCCTTACCTACGAGACTGTAGCTAAAAACGTTGAGGTACTGTGGGGTGTTTTTTTTTTAGCTACGATTTGATGCCTTTAGTTTTTACCTGGCAAACTTAATTTCTTTATTAATGCATGTAATGCCTTAAAATAAGTTAATTTTACACTATATTACGACTACTTAAACATACCCAGTCCAATGCAGTGAAACAATTTTCGTTTATCTGCAAATATTGTCAGTGGAGTTAAACAACCGGTGTTTCTAACAAAATTCTCAGTTTTGCTTTTTGAAGCCCGATTTGATTGGCATCGGGGTTTTGTCAGGTAAAACTATATAGTACCATCTCTTATCTCAAAACACGGAGGGTTGAGAGATAAGCTTTCTTATCTATCCCACCCCACCAAGGAAATATTCGAATTCTCGGAGGTTTTGCTGAAAAGATTTGATTGAAGTCTCTACAAATATCCCATTAATAAACCATAGATCCGCCAGGTGGTTTATAGCCCCAAAAACCAACACAGGACAAAAGCTAGAAGTATCCAATCGGCTCATAAATACTAATGTTCATGTTCAGACAATCCTCGGCCATTTTGTGATTTATGAACCAGCCGAGTTCTGTGTCTTTCCATAAATGTTTCCTCGTATTGACCAAACATTCAATATGGTTCATCTTCTGCAGTTTTGGTCATTCTGTGAAAATATTTATGCCGGCCAATGTAAAGTGAATGTCTAGCGGTATTGACCATTCCTTGATTTATGGACGGATTGAGACCCGGTGTGTGTATGTAAATGTTTCCTCGTCTTGACCAAACATTCGATATGATTTATTTATTCTAATGACAAACGATCGGCATATCAAAG